GCAGAGTGGCAGACAGAGGGAGAGGGAGAAGCAGACTCCCCGCCGAGCAGGGAGCCTGATGTGGGACTTGATCCCGGGACTCCAGGATCATGACCCGAGCCGAAGGCAGTTGCTTAACCAACTGAGCCACCCAGGCGCCCCTGAATGAACAAATGTTATTGACCCCTACTGTGTGTCAGGACTTGTCCCAGGCCCTGGGGATCAGAGTTGAAAGAGGAAGAGAGGACCCTGATGTGCACAGAGTTCATATTCCAGCAAGAATTTCACACCCTTGGAGAAGGAAGGACCCTCAGAGGGCATCAGCCTGATTTTCCCATTTTACAGACCAGAAAACAGATGCAGTGAGAAGTGACTTGCCCAAAGTTTACAATTACATATGATGTTAGAATTAGAACTCAGGTCCCTGTATGATTTTCAAGAGTCACTCCTTGCATAGCATAGCCTCTCATCAAGCCCTCATTCCTAACTTCACATGGAGAAGACGCTGCAGTATTCTTTTTTTTTTTTTTAAAGATTTTATTTATTTATTTGTGTGAGAGAGAATGAGAGATAGCACATGAGAGGGGGGAAGGTCAGAGGGAGAAGCAGACTCCCTGCCGAGCAGGGAGCCCGATGTGGGACTCGATCCAGGGACTCCGGGATCATGACCTGAGCCGAAGGCAGTCGCTTAACCAACTGAGCCACCCAGGCGCCCTGCAGTATTCTTTATATATAGAAATATCCATTACTGGGGATAATTGAGAATTAACAAATAGCATTTGTTTCCAACCATAATACTCGATCCTTGCCCGGATGTCCAAAATATCACCTCTCATATTTTAAATCATAAGAAATGTTTTCAAATTTGCAGAACATTTCAAACATACATGAAAGTGATGCACACTGATGCCCCAGGCACCCGGCTGCCAACTGCAAGTTACCCAAGGGGAATATTGTTTCCTCGGTGCCCTATTCGCTTAGGCTCCCTTCCCCCCAACCCTTGCATTTGGTATGTTGTGAAGCAAATTCCACACATCATATCATTTATTCCGTAAATATTTCAGAAAACTTAGGAATTTTTATCATCTTGGATAACAAATAGCAGAGTGATTGACACCCTGCAGCTCCATCGGCCCTTGAGACTTCTTAACCAAAAACGAGCATATTTTAGATAAGTCAAAAATGTCTTAAAAGCACTTTACTCACAGACTGCCATAGTGTGCACTAAAAGTTCTGAAATGTAATTTTATGGGGCTGTCAAGCTTTTTCAGGGACGTTTTCAGAGTGCAGGGGGAGCTCTCTGATGACCCGTTACAGAAATTCCAAGAAGCTGTGAGCTCAGTAGGGAAGGCCTCGCAGAGCTAGTCTTCCACGCCGCTGCACGTCCAGGACGGGCCCTGTTGCTGCCAGGTGCTGCAGCGTTTGGTTTTCACTAACAAAACCTGTCAAACTGTCCTGAGATTGTTTAGCAAACACCGGAGAACCAGTGCTGTTTTCAAAATGTCAGGTAATCCTGGAGTCTTGGCAGGTGAAGGCTAACGGGGTGATCTGAGTTGCCTTGGGAGCTGAAGAGTCCCTCGGCACAGGATGGGGCAGGTCAGCCCGGTAGGTGTGTGCAAGGCTGGGCACTGCTGCTTCCATCCCCTCTATGGTGCCATCCATCGAGAGAGGCGGGGGGAGAACTTGGCCAGCGACAACCGGGCTGACAGACCACGAGAGCAAAACCTCTGTGTGTCTGCTTCACAACCCCTATGCTCCAGGTTGTTCCAACTTCAGTTTGTACACTTCCCTGAGAAATATGGGGCATATGAAAGCCGCTGTATCTTTGTGTGTGTGCGCGTTCTTTTTTCTTTTTAAACATTGAGGTATGATCGGCATATAACATTATATCCGTTGCAGGTGCATAGCATAGTGATTCAGTATATGTGTCTATTGTGACATGGTCACACAGTCTAATTAGCATCCATCACCACACATAGTTACAAATTTTTTTTTTCTTGCCAGGAGAACTTTTAAGATTTGCTCTCTTAGCAACTTTTAGATGTACAGTGCAGTGTCACCTATAATCCCCGTGCTGTACATGGCACTCCCAGGACTTATTTATTTTATAATTGTATGTTTGTACCCATTGGCCCCCTTCACGTATGTCACCCATCCTCTCCACCCCCAGCCTCCGAAACTCCCAATCTGCTTTCTGTAGGATGAGTTTGGGTTTTGATTTTAGACTCCACATATAAGTGAGATCGTATGGCATTTTGTCTTTCTCTGTCTGACTTATTTCACTTAGCATAATGTCCGTCCATGTGGTGGCAAATGGCAGGATTTCCTTCTTTTTTATGGCTGAATAATATTCCATTGTATATACATACCACATTTTCTCTATCCATTCATCCATCGATGGACACTTAAGCTTGTTTCTGAGATGCCGCATCTTTGAATGATGAAAAATAAAAAAATAGTTACCATTTATCAAGCGTTTATTGTGCCAAGGCACTGTCCTAAGCACTTTATATGTATTTCTTGGTTATTCTTTACCATGAGCCCCAGGAGGTAGCTGCTAGGACTTCTTCATGGTGCACAAGGGGACTGAAGTTAGGGGCAGATTGGCAGTGCTGGTGAGGGGCAGAGCTGGACTCCAAAACCCTCTTCCTCCCCAAACCAACAGCCTCCAATCAGCCTCCTGGTTTCTTCTACTATAAAGCTTTCCTGCCCCTCTGCCTGTCTTTGAGACTCTGCCAAAATGCAAGTGATGGTGGCTCACTCCCTTGCTATAGCAAGTTCAGAATAAATAGCCTTTTCTTGTTCTCATCTGGTTCATCTTCACTTATTTCCACAATGTGGATGCCCACAAACTTTTGTTTCATTTCTCAGTTGTCTACAGTTCTAGAAGGGAAGAGGGGTACTAGTCATTGGGGCCCTGATAAATGTGGGGAAGCCAATCCCTACTTTTAAGGGGTTTGCAGTCTCTGTGGGGAATCTAGGCTTCTGTTATACCTGATAAAGACTCAGGTACGAGAATGCGCCCCTTACAGTGTGCTCCTCTGGGGCAAAAACCCTCTCTTCCTCACCTATGCCCCCCACATGGCAGCCAAGGGATAGAATCTAAAGGTGCTCACTATATACTGGTGGATTAATGACTTATTCTAATTAGATGCCAGAATAAGAGCAAGGAAGTTAGTCTTAAATACTGATTGGGTTCTGGAGGCAACCACTGACCAGTAAGGTCCAACAGCCATGTGAGTAGCTCCCCTACCTTCCTGTCTCTCCCCTGACCTCTTGCAACAGCCTCTGACCTGCTCTCTCTGGCCTTGCCGTCTCTGCCTTCAAGTCCAAGCTCTCCTGTGTTACTAAAGTGAACCCAAACGATGGGCTCTTGATAAACAGATTTGCTAGATGAGTGAATAGTATCACTTTCCTATTTAAATTCATTCCAATAGTTAAACCCACTCTGTAATTTTTTTGATCCAAAATATCCATTAGATAGAACTTTGCCACAGGGCAAATGCAAGGGAAAATCACAGAAAGCACAAATGGGAAGAGGAATTATTTGCTGGTATGTGGGATGGCTTTGGTTGGAATGGTGAGACCCACCTTGTTCTTGGATTCCTGGAACACCTTGGAAGCCAAAAACATCTCCTCTCCCTTCCAGCTGGCTACATAGGGCCACTCTTTCTCTGATGGTCATTGAGAGGTATATATCTTCCCTCCCAGGACATTAGTTAGTGGCCAGGGCAAGGGAACTATTGGAAGGGTTGCAACTGGCAGCCCAGAGGAGGTCCTTCAAGGGGCTAATGATCAACATCATTTATGGGGACTCCTATTTTGAAGGCAGCAAATAATAACACCCATTTATGAAGCACCTGCTATAGAGAATCCTGACCACTTAGTGAAGTAGGTATTATTATCTGTTTATTAGAGATATGGAAAGTCAGGAGCCCAGATGAGAGAATTTGCAAAGGTCATGCCGCTACTAAGTGATAGATTTGGCATTCAAACTCAGATTTTTCTGACACCCCCCCCAAGCAAACCTTTAGTTTTTTTTTTTTTTTAAAAGATTTTATTTATATATCTGAGACAGAGAGAATGAGAGAGACAGAGAGCACATGAGAGGGGGGAAGGTCAGAGGGAGAAGCAGGCTCCCTGCCGAGCAGGCTCCCTGCCGAGCAGGGAGCCCAATGCGGGACTCGATCCCGGGACTCCAGGATCATGACCTGAGCCGAAGGCAGTCGCTTAACCAACTGAGCCACCCAGGCGCCCCAAACTTTTAGTTTAATGTGAGGACAGTAATACTGCTTAGCTCCCATGATTGTTGTAAAGATTAATTGAAATAATCTACAGAAAATGAGTCCCACGTTGCCTAGAGCATAGTAGGCACTCAGTAACTACTAGGTGAGTTAATATTGCTGGCATTATCTTTGCTGCTCTGGCTATTGCAGCTTTGGCTCCTGGTCTCTGATGAATCTTCTGTCCTGTGTTCTCTGTGCCCACTTTGCCCCTCAAAACCACCCAGGGGCCCGTCTTTGGTTTCAGGGAGGCCAGAGGTAACATGGCCAGTTAGTGATGAAACTTTTTATCCTGAGGGTTTTGAGAGTGTCTGTGTGACATTATCTAGGCAGAAAAATAGTGATGATGGTGGTGATAATAATAATAACAAAAATAAAATAATAATAATAATAATAATGATAACTTAAATTTATTGAAAACCCCTAAACTCACTTCTTTGTGGGCATTTCAGTTCTATTCCAACTGCCCAGTGTTTCTAAATGTTTACCCGGATAACAGAAGACCCTTGTTCTCTGCTTTGCTTCTTGCTGAAAACATTTGAGGCATTCTGGAGGAGAACCATGGACATGAGCCAGTCTCAGAGTTAAGAGTGACAATAGACCCAACAAAGGCAAAGATTTAGCAGCAGGTGGTACCACTTGCACACACATCCCCTGCCAGCCAAAACAACATTCTCACTGACTCCATCCCAGTGGAGAGAGAGCTGAAAATCCAACAGTGACTCATAGTGTGCTTGGGAAGAAAGCTGAGTATAGTGGTTTTGGCAAAAAGGACAAAAGCAATGAAATGTTACCACAGTCTAAATTAGCAGGACTCTCCACATCTTCTCTCTTTCCACTGACATTTCTTTGTGGCAGCTGATGGAGTAAGACCACTGGCTTTGAAGGCCAAAGTTTTCATTGCCCAGCCATGCACCCTTGGGCAATTTGCATGAGCTCTCTAAACCTCACTTTTCTCTTCCATAAATTAAAAAATCTAAAACAGCTCAAACCAGGTATGATTGTTAAGATTAATGAAGTAATGCATCTCATTGACTGGCGTTTGTGCCACTCAAGAAATGTTGGTTTTGTTGGTGAAAGGAGAAGCAATTCTAAGTCAGAGACATTCCTTTCTTTTCTTCCTTTTTTTATTTTTTTTTTTTGTTTAGCAGTATTTAGAATTTACCTGCTTGCTAGTGCTAGGAAATGCATGTCTTCGGTGACGTTCCTTCTGGGCTCTGGATCTGTGTTTTCAGAATAATCTCATCTGTGTTGTTAGAGAAACTGCCTGAGAGAATAACTTCTAAACAACTTTTTGAGACTTGAAGGATGATGTCAGATATCTGGGAAAATAAGTGTGAGGCGGGGTAGAGTAGGCTGTCAAGGTAGAACTAAAAGCTTGAGGAAAAGCGTGGCATGAGAGAGGACAGGATACCTTGGAGAAGGTGGGACAAAGCTGGTGCGGAGCAGAATATTGTGAGAAGCATGATGAGAAATGCAGGTGGAGGTTGAGGCAGAGGCTGATCACAGGAGTGGAAAGGCCATTGTGGATCTTGGAATTTAACTGAACAGCAATAAGAAGCACATGGAGAGTAAGATTGGGAGTGACAGGACCATACATACAGTTTAAAAAGAGCTCTTGGACTGCCATGTCCAGAAGGATTGGAGGAAGATAAGAATGAAGGGCTATGGTAGATAGCACCCTTGGGCAAAGACAGGTAAGAAAACCACTCAACCACGGGTCATGTTTCTAATGGAACCAATGACAGGTTTAGTTTGTTCATTTTTTTGTTTGGCTCTGTGTGTGTGTGTGTGTGTGTGTGTGTGTGTGTGTGATTTCCTTCTAATATGTTTTCCTAGTCATAGTTTACAAAGTTTTCATCAAAATGCATGTATTCTCTTTTAACCTCAAAATTGATTGTCTATGCTCTATTGCTGAGTATCATTGTCATACAAAATTATTCATATTTTATTTTAAATATGTGTTCATTAAAGAAAACTTGTAGAAGAGGAAAATGTGGAAAAATAAAAGTAACAAAAATTATAGTTCTATCTCTCAGATAATCACTGTTACCATTCTGGCTTATTTTTTTGTATTAGTTTTTGTTCTGTGTGTGTGTGAACATAGATCTTCTATTCAAAGATTGTGATATTATCTATCACAGTTGCTGCTCTTTCTTCTTTCTTTCTTTCTTTCTGTCAATTGAAATATATCTGACACACAACATTGTGTAAATTTGAGGTGTAAAACATGTTGATTTGATACATATATGTATTAAAATATGATTGCCATTGTAGCCATAGTCGACTTTTTTAGAATCAACATATAAGTGATATCATACAGTATTTGTCTTTCTCTGTTTGACTTGTCTCCCTTACCATAATGACTTTAAGGACCATCCATATTGTCACAAATGGCAGGATTTCCTTCTTTCTCATGGCTGAATAATATTCTATTATATATACCACATCTTTATCCATTCAATGGGTAATGGGCACTTAGGTTGTTTCCATATCTTGGCTGTTGTGAATAATGTCGCAATAAACATGGGAGTGCAGATATCTCTTTTATATCCTGTTTTCTTTTCCTTTGGATATGTACCCAGAAGTGGGATTACTGGATCATCTGCTTGCTTTTTCTTTAACCTAATATTATATAATAAGCATTTCTCCTCTGTTATTCTTTGGAACCATTAATGGCCAAATAATATTCATCAAGTAGTTATACCATAATTTATTTAATCTTCTCCCCCCCATGATTGGACAATTAAGCTATTTCCATTTTTTTTCTGTTATAAATGAGATTACATTGAAAACTTTTGTGCATAAGCCTTTATCCCTATTTAGGATTATTTCCTTAGGATAGATTCCCAGAAATGGAATTACTGGGTCAAATTTGATGTTTTATGTTTCTCTTGGTACATGCTGTCAAACTGCTTTCCAAAAGGTTGTGTGAATTTACACTACCCTGTTCCTGTATGAAAACAAAATCCAGGAGAATGTAAGCTCCCCAACAGTCAGGCACCCTTAGTCTGTGGAACAGAATCTTCGATTTGGAAGTAACGTTTAAGGTAGGCAAAGCTGACCTCTACTGATGCTTGATCATAGCAGCATGTTTTGTGGAGAGGACATCGAAGCTTGGTCCACAGTGGTACTGACAATGGCACTA